GGTGCCCTTTGTGATTTTCTCAGGAGTCGATGCTGGAGCAAACGCTGCCGGAGCGTCGCGCTGGGAGCAGGCGCTGCGTGGTTGCGCGTCCCAGCTGAGGGAGAAGAAGGAAGAGCCTGGTGACCTGACCCTCCTGCTTGTGAAAGTTTGAACGTAGTGATGGCCCTCCCCGAGCCCTGGCAGAAGTCCCATCGAGATAAATCGCTCTGCCTCCTTTCACTCGGTCTCCTCTGGAGGCTGTCCAAGGTGGACAGGAGAGACCTTGTTGCCTCCCAGTTAGAAGGGAGGAACGAGACGCCCGATCTGGACGTGGTGTTCCAGGCGATGCTTGGCTGCCTGTGGGCTCATATTCTGTTGCTGTTTGATTATTAATCTTCCTGCCTGAGGATTGTTCTGTGCTGGGGGGTTTCCAGGAGAGGCAGCGCAGCTCCAGGTCCCGAGTGTCCCATGTGCGTGGTGGGCACGTCTTCGGAATTGGGCTGGAAGTGGTCTTCAGTGGCTCCCGGATCTCCAAGCTTCCAGGAGCCGCAAGCCCGTCAGCGTTGGTGGCCCTGGAGCTAGGTCAGTGTCCGGGAACTGTGTCCCTGGGCTCTCTCCCTGGCAGTGGCAGAGCAGCAGTGACATTGCCATCTGCCATCAGCCTTGTCAAGTCCCTTTGCCTCTCCGAGTCTTCCTTGCCTCTCCCGGTCACTGCCAAGCGTGGCACGGCTCTGGGCAGTGGGGTCGTGGTGTCTGCTTGATGCTACGTAGCTGGTAATAAATACTATTAATTTTGGTGCTGGGCCTTCGCTGTCACCGTGGTGGCAGGGAGCTCATGCACACCCTACAGAAAAAGGTCACTCCTGTCCCCCAAAGCTTCCAGTCTGGGTGAAGTTAGGGGCTGTAGAGAGGACACACCAGCTCTGCCGCAGCAGAAGCGTTGCCTTAGGGCTCCTTTTTTCCTGCCCAGTCCAGCCCAGTAAAGCCTGGTGCAGCGGAGCAGCCGTGCCCTCATCCTGCTCGGGGCATGGCGTGGTGCTGCTCTGCCACGGGCCGGGCGAGCCCGCCAGCACGAAGGGCTCCGGAGGCCGTGCTGGAATGCCTTGCCCCCATTCCTGTCTTCCTCCTGGAAGGGGGAACGGAGGTGTGAGGGTGGCAGAGCCGGCCTCGTGCAGTGGTCCCTCCTCGCTGGTCCTGAGCTCGCGAGATGCCTGATGAGAATCACAGAATCACAGAATGGTAGGTGTTGGAAGGGACCTCTGTGGGTCACCCAGTCCAACTCCCTGCCGAAGCAGGGTCACCCAGAGCAGGCTGCAGAGGACCTTGTCCAGGTGGGTCTGGAATATCTCCAGAGAAGGAGACTCCACAGCCTCCCTGGGCAGCCTGGGCCAGGGCTCCGTCACCCTCAGAGGGAAGAAGTTATTCCTCATCTTCAGCTGGAGCTTCCTCTGCTTCAGTTTGTG